TATGTAAAACATAATTATTATGCAATGAAAACACCTCAATTTCGCTGCTGGTGCAGCCCTGGTTGTGCTCAAGGCTTCATGGACAGGCTGTGCTGGATCCTGTGCAATGCTCAGACCTCGAGCTGTGACCCTGCCAGGCTCTGCCCTTGGGGAGCAGTGCTTCAGACCTGAACTCCTCTTCCTTTACGTTAGTCAAGTATGTAAAAGACATGACTTTGGTTACATATTTCGCCTTATGTTTCTATGCCATCAGTGAAAAAGTAAAAGCATGTAAGTGAAAAGCAAGCAAAGCAAGAAACTGCAGTATTTTATGAAGTGCTCGTTCCCCTCCCCTTATTAACCTCTGGCTTTCCTCACACACAGTGCTTGGGAACACACGAAACCCGGATGCTCGAATTCACACTGGTTGTTCTGACCATGCTAAATGTGCCACCATCTTCAAAGCACTTTGCAACTCTATTTCTTCATTTTGAAGGAAGGACTTTGCATTTTTGGCTGTCAGAATCCCTCTCTTCTGGAGTCCTCTCATTTGCCTACCACTGCTGTGGACTTGTGATTTCTCTACCTACATTCCCTAAAGGTGCACTACTCCATTTCCATCCCTAAGCTCATCTCTGGAGATCTCCACCTTCAGGTGACTTTCAGAGGTGCTTCAAAGAGCTCACACGAGGGTTTTTCTTCCCAGGCACCCTGTGCCACTGACTGCAAGTGGTAACCAAGCCTGGCTGGTCACTGAACTCAGAATTGTTCATTCCCACCTGAGAGCACAGAGCATCTCACTGGTTCTATGATAACTTATTATAGCAAGTAGATCACCAAGCATTACAAGATGCAAGAGATAGAAAACCATCTGGAAAGCAACACAAACTAACAGATTGATAGAGAACTGAAAACTCATGTTTTCAGTTTACAACCAATAAATTGCAGAACCATCGTATTTCCAGCTTGCAAGTTATTTTGTAAAAGCCTTCAAAGAGTGCTTTTCTTTCTTTTTCTTTTCTATTTTTGCTTAATAATTTATTTAAAGAGTACTTAAAAGCTGTCTCTGGTATGCAGCCTGTGTGTTCCCCTTTCCTGTACTTTGAGATCTGTGTGGGAATGTGACCTTGTGAAGACTCATACTGAGTTTGTCACCACAGCTTCAGGAAAAGTTGCTTGACTCCAAAGTATCTGAGAATAATATTTAAATCTTTGAAGGACTTTTTTCCCCCTATCAAACAGAAACAGGACAACAAAGCAAATTTAAAGGCCTCATTCAGCAATGCTGCCTCTAAAAATATCTTGAGCACACACTGACCTGCCATGTTATGGAGATACTAAGAGAAGCTGGAGACTGGAGTATCACTTATTATCTCTTTAATAACAGATTTCAGGTGGAAAAAAAAATATAAAAGGCCACAAGCATTGTATTTCCTTTCCCTCCTGGACAAAGGCCTCCTGATCATCAAAGCCTGAACCTGTGCATCCATAGCTAACTGCACTCTCCCTCTGGGGACACAGTATTTATTAGGCACCATACTCTGAGGTCCCTGAACTTCCAGTGTCTGATGGGACTGAACTCCTCAGCTTCCTTACAGGTTTCTACATGACTAACTCCACTTCAAGTCACTTTTGGGAGGTGGAACATGTAAACTGGTTCCATAACTGAGAGATTCACTCCCATACAAGTAGTAACATGTAGAATAAGAGTAGGATATAACAAGGTTCTCACCTCTGAGAAACCAAACATCTCCAGCAAACATCTGAACTAAAGAAGATCATGTTTAAGGCCACATTATATGCAAAATACAAAGCTTTGCCCTTTGGGTCAGGCTATGAGTATGTTGCACTAACACAGAATATCCAGTTATCCTTGAAGATGTGCTGACAAATCCAGTGTAGGTGCCAAGTCTTTCATGAATGCCAGTGTCTTTCTAGCATCACAGGCAGCCAGCAGCATCAGCCAGTACTCCTCAGGATGCACTTTGAGCAAGGAAAAGGATTTTTCACTTACCCTATGAAGTCCTTTGATGGACCAGCTCCATCAGGACTGGACTCCTTGGACCCCCCTCCACTTCTTACCTGTAGTGTGTCAACCTGTGGCACCATGAGCTGAGGAGAGCTTTTCTCATCAGGGAAGCAAAGATTACTGGGTACATTTTTGATGCTTGCATTTAAGGCAGAATTGGCCAGTCACTGGCAGAGATAAAGGTCTCAGCCTAAGAGCCATGTAAAACTGTTTCTCAGCTTCTCCAACCACAAGGCTTCACGGCAGTGACAGACACCCCTGGAACCACAATCAGGAGGCACAACGAGCGTCTCTGCACCTCTCTTTTTGTCAGGGCTACATGTCAGCTGTTGGGGCTGGTTCTGCCACATCACAGGATTTAGCTGTTGGGGCTGGTTCTGCTGCATCACAGGACTTACCAAGCTGTGTAGGGTCAAAGAGGGTTTCACAATACAGTACTGGGGAAAAAATGTCAAGCAGCAGAAAACTGAACTTCAACACAGACATTTTTTTTTAACATCCTCACCCTACAGTGACAAGCAAGCAGCCTTAAGACTGTCCAGAAAGCCACCTTTCCTGCCTGTCTCTATTTGTGGATTCCAGCAGCATCCATAGTGGGTTTAAAACCTGTTTGTGTGTCTCCAAGCCTCCTGCAGGCCATTTCCAGCAGTGTCTGTCCCTGCAGCTATAGCCTGAACACTTTCACAACTCCCTGACACTTTCTCTTCTTTCAGCAACATCCTCACTACTGTTTACCTTTTCCTCTGCCTGTGTCAGCAGCTTGTGGGACAATTCCCAGAGACTCTTCAAGGAAAACCAGTTCAGCACACTTACAGTATAATTAGCACAGATAACTTCATTGTTGAGTGGAAAGTTGTTCAGAAAGTAGGAAGGGACTTAAGTGGCTCCAGCTGGTTGGTGATAAAAAATAACATTTAAGATGGTAAACACTGGATGATGATGGGAGACCACTTCCAACTCTATTGTGGTTGAGCAGTTGCAGAAGAGACCTGAAGTCACAAAGAGAAGGGAAAACATCACACCAGTAAAAGCTGTAAAACATGTTGAGAAGAGAGAAGGTGATCCCCATCACTGAATAACAATAGTGGCAAAATTAAGCACCTCAGAGAGAACTGTCAGCTTGCAGTCAAAAGCTGCAACAGCCAGAGCAGCAACAGAGCTCAGCTGCAGTAGTTGCTCCACATCTTCACCACTGAGCAGCTCAATAGGACACCAGATAAGGAATACTCATTGGGTAAGATTCAGGACACTAAGCCCTATAAAGCAAATGTTAAGACAATGCATTTATATAACAGTGTTTACCTGGGATCCATTTATAAAATGGAGGTAATTTTCAAGCTCCTTGAATTTCAGCATCACTGTGACAACCAACTACCCAAAGAACCTTCTGTGCAATGAATTAAGATGCTGATTACAACGTAACATGCAGATACCAGTGCTGTGATTATAAGGTTTGGCTGAGCTTTCCCAACATCTAGAACTATACCTATTCTTCCATATCTTGGACAATTACACCAATTTCTATTACATGTCTATTATTATTATTATTATTATAAACCTAATTGACTTGAATATATCTCCTGACACACCAATTTCAATAGTCTTTAAAGTTTTGAAATAAATACTTAACTCCTGTCAGGCCTTCACATAGGCTGACTTAAAGATGTGCTGTTTTGAATACGTAAATTTATACGGCGACAGCTGATTTAACATCCTGCTTCTCCCTTCATTAAGACTCTCCTAGATAGCATGTAAATGAGCATTAAATAATCCTCATACCCAAAAATAACCCCTTAAGACAAACCATTTAAGTGATCTTTAGCCTGTTCTTCAAGAACTTTGCACTGGCCCCAGTTCCACCAAAATCAGACTCTCGTTCCCTTGTCACCCGCTCTCTATCACCCCCTGCCCAGCAGTAGCCTACAGTGTCAAGAAAATTTACAGCCCCAAAAAGAACTGTGACTTTTTGGTTAAAAGTCGGTTTGGGAAAATTTTTTTCTTGCTTCCAGTCTTGTTCACCTACTGAAAATAGAGGAAATCTTCTCTTGATTTTGCAGGCTTTGTATGACTAGATGTAAGAACGTGCTGGTAAGTAATATTTAGCACTGGAACCGAGTCCAGTTAAACATTTTCAGAAGAGCCCATGCAAAGTGCTGACAATCATCAGTTTGATCAATCACAGACCATCTTCCTGCTTTTGGAATACACAACTTTAAAAAGTAGATACCATCCATCTCTTGACACCAATGGACAGATTTGGTAACACTGTTCAGACATTTTAATCAGGAATGTTTACACTTGTTGCCTAAACACTGCCCCAATAACAGCAGACCATTTTAGAATCTAGTGATAATTTTATTTAAAAAAAACAACCTTTATAACTCATTAAGGTTGGTGCCAAACTTGGCACTGGGACCAACAGTTTGCCAAACAACAACAGCAGAGAAGTACAACTTCAGAATGTCAAGTCGAGGACATTTAAACAGCAATGCTCAATATTCTGGTATAAGATAAATTGAGCAAAAAACTGTCCTCAGCGTACAGAAAGCTCTATTGATCTGCCATGGTAAGTTTGCTTTCTTACCACTATTGAAAATAAGTCACGAACATAAAAGCAGTAAGAGAAAAAGGTGGACTGTTTGCAAGTATTTTCCCCCTGGTCTTCCTCTCTCCCTCCCTTCCAAGTTCTCTGTGGATACAGAGATCAAAATATATACTGTGTGAGAATGTAAATCACATCATACATTTAAAATTAATTTTAATTTATGTACAGCAGTTACCATTCATGAATGTTACACAGTCCCTGCAATTACATTCCTTATAAGGTAAGTCTTCACTGACCTCTGTTGAATCTTCTGATGGAGAAACAGAAAGGGGAGGTGGAATCAAGGGGTAAGGAATGACCATGGTCATTAAAAATTTTGGGAATTTGAGCAGTAAACCTCAGAGAGTCTCTATGACATTCCAGAAATAAATGGTGGCAACGTGTATATATTGCAATTTTATTTCATTCGCTCAAACAAAACGTTAGCATGTAAGAAATTTAAAATGACACAATATGATAAAAATAGCAGAGAATGAACTGAGAAACTAAAAAGAAGGTAAACCTAAATGCATGAAAAGTCAACATTCATTAGTGATCAGCTTCAGTCTTTGATTGACACTTGATGCTTGATAACTTTAAAACAATGAACTGGAAATCATTATGAACTATCTGAAGAGATTTCAGCACCAGCACTAAGATTTTTACATTCAGTTGGTTTGCAGTTGACTTGGTAGCCACTTGTCTGTAGTGCAGGTTTATCACAGGTCAGATCACAGTGTTGAGGAAAGCAACGCCCTCCTGGCATTAGAAAGGATCCCTTAAACTGCCCTCAGCTTAAGACATCCATTGTACAAAAGCACAGAACCACCACAATATGGTTTTTAAAGAACTTAGTCACCAGTAAGCAAAATAATCTTAGCTTCTGCAGTTCATTTTCAATACTGAAATCTCTGGAAACGGTGCAACTGTCAGTAGGTCAGGAAATGTCTACAGTAATCTTTAATTCAATCCGATTTCCTGGAAAGAACCAATTCTGCAGTTTGGGATTACAGAAAGTATGTATGTAGAAGCAGCACAAAAGACAACATCTGTTCCTTTTTCTTTTAAACAGAAATCATGTTAATTGTAGACCAAGGCACAAAACGTTTAGTGCATAAGCCAGTTCCTTGCACAATCTAGTAGTTCAGCCTTTAATTTTGGACCACTTGTACCCATTCACTATTCCACTATGCTACTCCTGAACTCTCCTAGAAACAAATCAAACGTGATTTCTGACAAGGGTAAACATTCTTAATGCTCAAAAAGTCCATGTAAAACAAAAAGTTACATCAACAAAGATGAAAATGCCTCCTCTTGTTTTGAGAAAAACAGTACTTGACAAGCTTATTATGGATTTTTTTTTAATGCCTCCAATAAATGCATGCAGAAAAATGTTGTTGCTTCTCTTTATTTAAAAAAAAAATTAACAAATGGAGTTAGGTAATATTTCCACTGTTGTCAACTCTTAGAATTTGAACCTCTAGAAATAGGCAATGTTTGAACAGGTGAAAAATCTCCTACTGAAGCCTTTCCAAAGCTGTTAAGTGCTGTTTTGCTTTGGTGTTCAGCACTCAAGACAGTATGTTATGGAAAGCATTTGTCCTACGAATGAAGCTGCACATACACGTAAGCTGAAACGCTAATCTCTCCAAAAGTTGTAAGTAAACTTTTCTTTTTGATCAGCACAGATCCCAAAGCAAACATGGCACTGTTACAGCTTGGAAAAATTGACCGTGCAAAGGGAAAGGAAAGATTTTGATCCATGTTCTTTGTCCAAAGCACTACAGATCCAATTGAAAGAATTTCTATTCCACTGAATTGTACCACATTAAAAAAAAAACATTAAAAATTAAAAAAAAATTAAATGCATAAGATCTAAAAACCCTGGGAAACAGAAAAGTATCACCTCCCCTAAAAATGATTCTCAAATTGTTGAACAAAACCAATGGCATTGCTGTCTTTCTGGGTTTGGGTCGTGTGGAGCTGTGGGGGGTTTTGTTGGTTTTGATTGTTTTTGGAAAGGAGGATGGCAGATAAGTTAGGAGGAGAAGGGGACATTTACTGTGACCTGATGCTCTGTTGTTCTAAGGTAACTGCTGTTCTGTTCATTAAACAATCAAAAAAGGAGTCTCAGAAAAGAGTGAAGCAGAAGGTCATGGTAAAAAGGTAAAGGACAACACACTTACACAGGGGCATCCTCAGTAATTCAGATGCCTACACATTTTTTCTCTCACTGAGAAATGAGTTTGGTTCACCTGGGAGTTTCAGAACCATTATGGAAGTACTACTGAATTTCAAATAGAAAACTGAAAAAAGATACAAAAGGATTAAGTACCTGGTTCCATTAACATGGTTACTGATAAAAGTTATGTTTTCCTCATTATTACACATGCATGTAAGATGAAGAAAAAGTGTAGAAAGTAATAAAAATGTGTCACCTTCCCCCTCCCTCATCCCACATCTTTCTGGGCATAAATTAAGCCTTACAAATGAAAAGGCTACTCTGTGACATGCAATTTTTCTTTTAATTAAAAAGCTGGCTGTGTTGTGTTACATTACAAAAATGTCCACATGCATAAATCTAAAAAAAGCCCCAAAATCTACTGTAAATCTACAACATACTAATGATTTACATTTGACTGCTGATTCGCATTATGTAGAAGTCTTAGATTTGGTAAAGCATCGTAACAATGTAGGAAGGCATCTACATCTTTAAACTCTGGACTGTATTTGCTTTTTTTTCGTTTTCCTATAAAATTGCATGAAGGCTAACTAGAGAGGCTTCCTATCATAAAATTCCAAAGTCTTGATATGTTATCACCGTCTGGGTCATTCACTTACAAATATTGCCCTTTAAAAGCCCGCGTCTCTAATTGTTCCGTGTTTTGTGAACCGAACTTCTACACATCTGATCTCTTAAATTATTCATGGAAATATCAGATATGATAGGAAGACAAACCTGAGATACATTTGAAGTACAACAGTATAACTTGCTAACTCCTTCATTAATAAAGAAAACCTCTCTGAAAAGCCTTCCCAAGCTTTTCCCTGTTTTTTGTCTTAACAACTGTCCTAGTTACAGGGGTCGGGACCAGTTTATCACAATGTGGGTATAACCAAAACTGTGTATTCTACACCCTCTATGTCATTTCTGATGGACTGTTAATAATAGATCATTTGCAGCAGCTGCCCAGGGCACACCTGACACCTCAGGCTACAAGCTGGGCGTTAGAGAACTCTGTGAGGAGTGTTTCTTTGTCTTTACACTAATGACTCAGCTGTGATTACTCCCCTCCGGGAAGCATTAGCACCTTCACACCCAGCCTGAGGGGTCATCTCTGCTAATGGGCCATACTGGACTGGCATAATAGGCAGCTGCAAGGACCTAGACCATTAAAGACTCCAAAAATGTCCCATGACTCACAGAGTTAAATCACCCATTGTGAAACTCCCTGCCCTGGGGGAGGTACTGGACATTCCCACCTGAACCTGAGCACATATATTCTTGGGGTTTTGGGACTTCTGGTAACCACTCAGCAGATCGAGAGAAAGACCAGAACTCCAACAGGACTGCAACTGCGATCATTACCTCAACAGGACTGCGACCATCATCTGGACCAACAGGTTTTCCTTTCCTTTTACTTTGCACCCGAGGGACCACGTGGTGCTCAGCACAGGGGCTAACAAGCACTGTTCTCGTCCCAGGGTGCTGGGTTATACATCTGTCTTTGGGGGTTAAAACCAGTTTTCTCTGGATCATTGTATTTATTGTAATCTTCTTAGTAAATTGTAAGTCTGACTTGTAATCTCTCAAGTTAGGTTCATTTTCTCCCACCGGTTTACCTTTAAACCAGCATGAATTCTGAAACATGTGCAATTTTAACTTGACATGAGTAGACTTCAAAGCATTGTGATCTTGTCTGATAGGTGTAGGAATTTCTGCATAATCATTACAGTAACTTTAAGAGTCTCTTCCACCCTGCTGTAAAGGTCAGAAAAAAGCTGCAAACTAGGAGGGGGAATAGCATATCACCAGAGTGATGTGTCTGAAGCTTTTCAGAATAGGTTGTTTCTCCCTCCTTCCAAGTGTCTGTCTGTCTGTCTCCGTTTTCTTCTAACAGCTCACAAAACGTAGTCAGTTTTATATCAAGTTAAAGAGTCACATCGGCTTAGTACTAGTCTTTCTATGCAGTATTCGACTTGCTCAGTTCCTGCCTGATAGCTGGAGAGAAAGAGAGAGAAAATTAGCAAATCAAATAGTCACAGTCAAGGCAGAAAGCCAGAATACACAACTGACCCCTTAAAGAAGGCTCACCCTGCTCCAACAGTCTTACAATGTGAATAAGACAGTCTCATGTGGCTTCAGACAATTGTCATTATCAACCAGGCACTGCTCTTTTCCTTCCTGTAAAGTTAACATCTTATTTTTCAGTTCCCATCTCCAGCAAGCCTATGACCTTACCTAATGACAATCACTACCACTGGGATTATCAAGGAGCATATGTCTGGGCTCACTTAAGTTTTTTTGTTTGTTCTAAGAGCAGCCTCAGGGCCCTGTACAGTTTGCACTGTACTGTTGTAAAAGGCTGAGGTACAACATAGCACAGTCAAAATACAGGGAAAAGCACTACATTTTCTGTAGCCCAAAACCAGCCAGCTCTTTCTACAACATCAGCTGGTGACATCTGATATTTTATCAGCAGTCGTATGAGTTTAATATGACTTTTTTTTCCCCCAATACTTTATTTTGGTACATTCCACAAAGCAAAAAAAAAAAAAAAAAATAAAGCCCACTAAGGTAGGAAATTATACACAGAGTTTTATTTAATTCCTGACTGGTGGACCTTTAAGATTGCTCTTTCTTGGTGTTTTCTCTTAACTACAGAAGACTACTTACGAAAAGGTCTTCTGTTAAAAATTAAAATTGTGAGAATTCTTTTCTTTGACTCCTATGTTACAGATCAAAGAGAAGACAAAGCTGGAAGCACCATTCTAGTCTGAATATTACCAGTTTTGAAATACGCACCTCGGCATCTCTGGATTATTTCAAAATAACCTACCTACCACCACATGATACTAAGGACAGCTGCAAATCACCCAAATACAGCATCCCTCCAACCACTCTTAAAAGACATTACTTGGTATAAATGTTCTACTAAAGCAAAATTCCCAGGAGAGAAAACAAAGCACATCAATCAGAACAGGTCTGGCACAAATGGTTTGCCACCAGGCTAAGAACAAAGCTAGTTTTACCAATATATAATTCCCGAGGCTGGAAACACTTTGTAAACACATTATAAAGCACCTGTAGCTACTTACTCTAAAACTCAACAGCAACAGCAAACACAGCAGTACCTACCATCAATGAGTTCTTCCTTTAATTTTGTTAACTCCTTCCTCATTTCGTCTAAAATGTCCTGTGGTGTCAAAACAAAAATAACAGATCAGTGAACAGATTAGTTTTGCCACCTGTAATTTTCTGTGGAGAGAAATCGAAAATTCTTCCAATCCAATTCTTCCAAACAACACTTAGCCCTTCTGAAACACGTAACCCACCCTTCAGCTTCCAAGTTAATCCTCAAAACCTAAGGCAGGCATCCATAAAACATCCTTACTGCAGTACAATACAGAGAAAAACTTTCCATAGAAGTCCTATAAATTGATTTCCACAGAACTTATGAGAAGTGACATTTTGAAGTCCGAATAGTGCACTAATGTAACTGCCAAATAAAAAAAAAGTAAAAAAACCCAAAACTTGACACGTTCCTTTAAACTAAGGAAGCTTTGCTACAGGTGAAATGTGATGTGGAATGCAAAAGAAGGAGCTAACTAAGCACCACAAGCCAAGGAAATAGTCAAAGAAGAAAAAAGGGAGATCAAGTTATCACGGTCCCAGTTGCCAAGCGGAATGTGAGGGAATTAAGGCAACAGGGCAAAGGTTCCACCTCCTGCTTGCTGTTTTCTCCATCCTTTCCTCTAAGTGATGTTAACTGATGATTTGATAATGTGTTTACAAGTAGAGCGGGGGGGTAGTGTCTGTTTCTGCAAAAGAGACTGTCATCTCCTCACCAAATCCGTAGTGAGCACAAAAGTCATCCAGGGGATTCCAGCTGCTTCTTTTCCAGTGTTGGGGTCAGCATGCTGTTCACAACCGTGCTGTTCACAACTGAGCATGCAATTACTGTCATGTGCTCTACATTTGTTGGGTCCCTTATGAGCTGCACCAACACATGCATGGACACACTTTTCCTGCCTGAAGGCATTCCTGGTGTAAGAGCATGTACCAAAGCTGCAGAGTAGGTAGGTCTCCCCATTCACCAAGTCTTATACAAGACTCCTGGGCAAACAGCAAGAACCCTCGGAGTGGGAGTGTGGCCACCAGTTTCTGGCAAGGGCAAGTAAGAGCTTGACATGTGTCCAGTAGACATAGAGTTTGAGATGATTTTGCCTCCAGAGAAAATAATCTTAACTGGGGCAGTGGGAATGAGTGCACTGTAAAACATGGGAGAGCTGTGCTTTATGGGATGATGGGGTCCTCATCTTCTGTGCCTTCAACTTGAAAGAACCACAGAAAAGAAATAAAAGCAGACCAGGAAAAAAGAGGAAGGAAAAAAAAAAGTAACTAGACTCCTATCTGCAGCAGCATTTCATGGAAGCTGTAGCAAGAGTCCCACAAATCCTCTTGAGATGACAAAACTAGATTCTAGAACAAACCCACACACGCTCCAGGACCTCCCACCAGGCCAGAACCCATTCTAGAACTGCCTGTTGAGTCAGGACTCAATCCAGAAGCAATGAGAACAGATTGCTGATCCATAACCCAATTTAGAGCCAACCACTAAATCAGAATGGTCTAGAAGGAACTACCAAGTTAAAAGCCACTCTAGAACCACCAAGCTGGAGCTTGCACCAGAATCTCCCTCCCCAGGACAAGCCCGTTGATTCAAACAGCTCTTTAGGAAGATCCTTCAACTCGACAATTCACACCCCTCTAAAAACCACTGCCACCACCATAGCCCTGCAAGCAATTACTAAATCATTACATCTGGAACTAGCTAACACAGTTAAAAATTGGTATGGGACAGCTACAAGCCCTTATATATCCAAGTTGCCCATTCAAAGCATTATATACATACCTGCTTCAATCTGTCATAATCTAGACCTTCTGACTGTACTCCATTGGCACTAGGTTGTCCCGTTGGTGTAGATTTTGGTCTGCAGTACAAAAACACATCCATGAGTACAGGATACATAGGACTTCCCCATCAAACTTACTAACACTTGTCTATCGAAAACATAGTAAAGAATCAGAATGAAAAAAAAAATGCTGGGAGTGGGAGGGTGGGAAATCAAGCAGACCCAAAATACCACACAGAATAGAAAGCAACAACCGAGAACGTTCTCCACACTCTGGAAATATTAATTACCATATGAATAAGAGTTATTAGTTCAAACCAAGAACTTTCAAAGTAGCAGACAGATTTCACTGTCAGTGGTTTCTGATTTCTTCATAATGAGCATGAAAAGCTGAACGCCTTCAGACGTCAAATACTTTATCTTTTCAATTGCTTACTCATTCAAAAGAGGCTCTCTCAAGGAAACACTCCCACTAACTAATGACTACATGTTGATGCTGACTGTATGAATGCCATGGAATCACCCTGGCAGATTTTTAGCATTTGACAGGACATGGCTGAGCAACCTTATGTGACACCCTTCCAAATTAAATTATTCCATCAATTACTTTTTAAAGCTACTGAAAGCAGGTATTGTAACAACAGTAAGATAATACGTGAGAGGAAATTCAGTGGTTTGGACTAGGTTATGTTCGATGTTTCCTGATGCAATACTCTCTTAAGACAAAGACTTGCTTTCCAAGATCATCTTACATTTTTTAACACAGATTCCAAAAGAAGTGGGTCTTCTCACTTCTCTTTCCCGACCCCCTCTTTTATAGAAGGTGTAATTCAGACTCATGTACTTACTACAGCTAGGAGCAGAGACAGTATCTGGATGCTGACAGCAGGAATACCAAAACGGTTCTCCAAAGCAGGGAGGGATGGATGGATGGTGTGGGACAAAGTTCATGTCAAGAGGTTTCCCCAGTGTTTAGGATTATCACAGTATGCTAACTTTGAGGAAGGGCAGGGTATTAGTAGACTAAACTGAGACCTATTTCACTGAACAAAAAAAGCCTGGCCTAAACTCAGTGTGTCACTTCAAAATTCCTACACAGGAGAAATTCATTAAGCACTGCACTTTTCTGGATTTGTCACCTGATGGTGCAGCCTTATTTATTACAATGGAAGGTGGACAGGAACAAAAAAAAGAAAAAAACCAGCAAAAAAGGCACAATTCTGTGATTTATCTTCTTTTGAATATGCACTAAAAACTACTTTTTTTCAGAAAAAAGCAGAATGCGTGAAGGACACAAGCAGTGTATCCCATGTTTTCATTCTCATTTATTTGTATATTTTTAATTTAGCTAACCAAAAAAAAAAAAGTTGTATTCCCACTCAAAAGAAAAAGAATAGCAAACATATATATGCATATATTTCCTAGTTTATCAAATCGCTACCCTTCAGCTTTCATACATCTTCCTTTACAAGACAGCAGTTCATTCACAGAGAAGTTATCCTATTACATGGGTTTTGTTCAATAAGAGCTGAATGAACATCACACTGGATTGTTTTGATGACTTTTACAACCTGACAGGAATATTTTCTGGATTTGCTCCCTGAAGCAAGAACACTCAAAACATGACTCCAAACAGAAAAGACTGCACACACCAAAATGTTGGTTTGATACTTGTTCTTCATGTGGGATCCCAATACTCAATTGCTATGGCTGTTAAGACTTAAGCCTACACTGTTTAAATATAAGTTCCAAGAGAGAAACTGCTAACATTAGTATTGCTTGAAACACCCCAAAAAGAAATACACAATCCACCAAGTAAGACAAAAGATGAAATACTGAATAACTTGATAGCGAAAGAAGCTGAAAAACAGAGTTCACCTTGCAACCACCACAACATCTACTGTGTGTGCTAATGCTATGAAGGCAAACCACGGTTTAGGATCTTTTACAAAACTCTTTACGTATTTACAGTGCTTAGTTCATAATGGAAGAATTCCATGCTCTAAAATATTCATCAAGATGAGATCTTTGGCAATTGCTGTTTCACGAAGTACCTGATATCTGAAGTGTTACTTGCAGTTTACACCTCAAACCGTGAACACCGACTTACTCCAAGCAGAATAGCATGAGTTTTTCAGATTCTTCATATATAGCTTCTGATCACTTCCATTGACTACCACTTTGTTCCCATGCACTATGGTATTACAGCATTTAACAAACATGACTGAAAAACCCCCCAGTATCCTCTTAAATACAGCTCCTGGTAATTGATAACAGGCACCTACTGCCTTAATAGAAAAGCCCAAACAAGAATATACTTAAATATTTTTTAAAATTTTTAAAAAATAACTTATGACTTTAATGTTTTAATGAGATGACTTCAAAGAAAAGCTCTCCACAAAACGACTGCTTCATGGTTTTTTTTCTTCAGAGCTTCAGAATAAAAAGTCAGCTTTACCCACCCTACATGACCTACTCCTGCTGTCAAAAATCTCAACAGGAAAACTTCTTTATAAAACTCTACCCCTCAGTCTTAAGAATGTCTTCCATTTTTGCTTTCCGAAATGCAAGACATTCTTAATTTAAATATTGAAAGACAGCAACTTGTAAACTAAATAACTTCTATTATCAGGAAAATCTACCTGTCTTTCCTCCCTCTTCAACTTGCTCAGAAGAAAGATTAACAGTGAATGCAGTTGCCATTAAGGAAAATGTTAACTACTGAAAGTCAGTCAATAAATCATCCCAACCATTCGATCCATAGACAGCTAAAGAGCTCTCCCGTGTGGTTTTTCATAGCATTGCCTAACAGGACAGTGAGGCAACTCTGACAGTCCCTAACACACCTTAAATCAAGCATGCAAGGTAAAGATTTTTTTTCATGCCAACATGCAGAATACACCACCCAAGATAAGTAGCTAAAAGGGGAACTTTTCATACAAAAGATTAAGTAATCACCACAGTGAGTGCCTTCACGAAAAGCAAAGTTGGAATCTGACTCAGTAATTCTGAGGGGTCTGTGACACTTCTACCTGAGGAAAGTTCTCCTAAGAAAGGTTTAAATGTCAGTCAGTACTTTATGAGTATCGCTAGAGAGTGAAACTTAGATCTACAGAAAAAAAAATACATGATGTGGACTCTAACTTGTGAGTATGTTCCAAACAGAAACATTAATTTATGTTTAACAAGTCTTCTATCAAAAAGCAAATGTGAAAACTCACTCGGAAAAGTAATTGCTATTCCTGTGTATCTAAACTTTACAGTTTTGAAAACCTGCCTCTCAAAATGCCACAAACGGTTCACTAAATCCTGGCATTCAACAGGAATTGGCATCTTTGCAGGTGGAGACTGCCAGAAAACCAGTGTTTAATATGCATTCATATCTGGTTCTTCAGCCATCTCAATTTGCCTTTGACACCATCTGCTTTTAACAAGTGCAAAAATGGGCTCAACTGGACAAACAAAATGTAAAGAGAAGGTGAGTGTGGTGATTACCAATCCATGTAAAAAAAGTCCAACCCTGAACTGGTCAAAGTGGTTATTATAAAGTCTCAAATCCCAACAGGATGATACCTGTTTAATGAATCATAGAACCTGTTTTCAGAAGCAAGCAGATTTTTCCACGGAGATTCCCGTCTACGAAGGGGAGAAACACTACCTTAACAAGCTATAATAGGTCTTAATTTTGTTCAGTTTTAGCACCTTAAACACCATGGAGTTTCAGTAGGTCCAAGAGTTCTATTTGAATGTTTCAGGAAATAAAAGCACAAAGCTTAAGTCTTTTCGGTTTGCTACAAAAAAAAGGCCTGATTTTAAACAGGACACTAGCTTATTTTAAAATGCTTAGAATATTCATTCTGAATAACAACAACTTCATTGTCAACCTGTTTGGAAGCTCTGAAGAGAAAATTTTGCTTACTTGCCAGTTTCTTAAGCACACTTTGCTTAACCTCTGTAGATGACTCATATCCTCTCTGTAGAGGTTGGAAGCAGGTTCTCAAGCCCTACCAGGTGAAAGATATCCCCTTTTGGCAAACACAGTACTAGTGTTTCAAATAGCAACACACTTTTATTAACTCACTCAAAGAAAGTTTAACAAGCTGCTTGCTGAGACAAACTTAGCAAGTGTAGAGAATTAAGAAAAATGCAAGGATATTCAAGGGAGACCTCTTCTGACACCTTTCCTTTCTTGGTCTGTGAAACATTCCTCATCCTGGCAAAGCAACTTGTAAACACTGACTAGAAAGCTGTACCAGCAATCTTAAAGTATACGCTTATGGCACTTTCAAGTAGGTTGTGACAGCATTGGAAAATAATACTGATGTTCAATAAACATAGAATTCTTATTTTAGAAGTATTTTTAGAGTATACACCAATGAAGGCCCATATCAACTTGAATTCTATCAACATTTTCCACTGCGTGAGTGAAGACAAAAGCTTGATGGAGAGAATGTCTCAATGCATCTCAAGAGAAATCTCAAAAATCCTCTGTAGTCCTGTACTCCTCTAGGTCAGAAAATATTTTTTAAAAAGACCTCAGCAACTCTGAATTTCACCAGTTGAAAAAAGATCAGTGAAATTAGATGCATAAAACAGTTTACAAGAACCTGCTGTTGTAGGGGCAGGTAGAAACAAGACTTAAGAACATCCCAGACTCCCCAAAAGAGTACGATGTGGACAGCTGCCCTACTTATTAATCCCTTCACTTTCTTCAACTGCTTATCCATAGGGTATCTACAGCCAAAGGGACAGGTCAGCAACTGTTTTAAACAATATGAAATCTAAAATGCTCTTTATGATTCCTTACACAAAATATTTCTGTGACAAGTTCCCCCTCAATGCCACACCTTGAAGCAGAATGAGGTATCAGTTCAAGAGACCTTGGTTAAAGCAGGTAAGACCTACTGGGGGGTGAGAGGGAAGAAGGCAGTGGACAGTCAAAGCTAAAGGCAATGCAGCATTTTGTTACACTGACAGTGTAGCAGAGAGAACATCGTCACCAATGTCACCTGCTTTTTGACAAAAAACAAAGCAAGCAACCAGAATCAAGGCTGCAGACACCTTGAGCTCCTGGGATTAAGTTACTTAAGAAGGACAGACAAGGATATTGATACAGGCTGAGAATGTTTAGTGTTGCATTTTAGAACTGAACTGGCAAACTCAACTACAAGTGAGGCCACTTAAAGAACAGCTGTTTTTAATACTATAATCACCAAATCTTGTATAGCTGTTTCCAACAGACCAGACTTCTAAGGAGAATTCAAGTAATTTCAAACATAGCATTCTAAAGTTTAACATGTTCTTTTGTTTTCTCTCAAGAAATTCAGGTAATTCTGTCAGATTATCACAGTTCCGAATCCTTTAACCTCTGTACACACAACATACAGGAATTCTAAATGAACCCCAAGCCTTCTGCTTAATGTAAATGGTAAACATACCTCCAAAAAAAATACCTAAAGCAACTATTTCACTTACTGAAATGCCTACTGAAACACCCACTACCTACTCAAGTTCCAGCTGACAAGTCACCAAAGACTGGTTAACGCAGTGAAGGATGTAGTTTTTAATGACAGACTTCCTTAGATTGCTATGAGACAGCTACTGAAAATTGTCACAGAATCAAATCTTACCAAGATAGTCATAGAATGGTATTCTAGACATTTAAGCTAGCACAGTGATAGAAGGGAGAACACCTATTCACTAGATTTACTACTGAATGTGTGAACTGCAGCACTGAATTTGGTTTTCCCTTGCAGGAAATTTCAGACTTCAAATAAAGAGAAAAAAATAAACATTGCTATAGGCACAGATACATCTTAGTAATTCAAGTTATACACTAGCAATTGTTAAAGAATATTTTTGAGTTTTAATTTTGATTTTACTGTCAAAAATTTCACTTACTAGCATTCTCCAAAAGTGACTCCTGATTCCTACTTAGAACTGCCAAAAAGCAGTTTCACAGCAGTAATTTTAAACCCATACATTTTACTTTTAACACTATTAAGGTGAGCTTTGCTATTTTAGCCCACCATCTTCAGCAGCATGTGCAACTGCAAACATAAGGAAAAGATAGCTGAGGGGAGTACCTGGAGATAACAGGTGACTTGCTTCCATTCACTGTATTTGTCCTTTCCCAAGGCTTTCTTGTTAGTTCTGGAAAACATAGTGAGGAGATTAAAAGCTATCTTTTTCCATTCCTTGTGTAATTTATATGAGGAAACTTCAAGTATCTGGCAACTTAAGTCAGCAGGTTGGTTTTTTTGCTGTTGTTCCTACATTGCATTAGTTCTTTCATACTAAACTGCCTCCTTTTGTACCCATCTTTTGTATTCATCTGGTAGTTTCCAGTCATACTACCAGTTATGTTGTGAGAGCATCTTAGAGTCTCACTTGTGTCCTAGACACTGTAAATGCCATTTGATTCTTAATCCAACTGGGAGAAGGTCTGCCTATACTTTATGTATCTGATTGCTTTCAGTTGTGAAATATGGAATTCTGGAAACAGCTTCAAATACTCGAGGAAGAGGATTTTAAGCTAAAGGAGTTTTCCTGAGCTGCTAATGAATTATATAAAATTAATTCAGTGCCAATTTCAATTTAGTTACAGAAGGTATGATACAACCTCACACAACTAGAATAACTTTTCAGCAACAAGATATTTATTTTCCAAAGTCTTGTCCCCAAAAGGATACTTCTACAGTTGTAATATATCATTTTCCCCTTTCAAAATAATAGACTCAAAACTAAAGGAACTTTCTGTAGTGTGAGATATTACTACTTGCAATCATTACTTAACTCAGGACTTCAATGTGCTACTGACCAGTCTATATTTCAGGTTTGGAGTTTGTTCCCTTTCTTTCATATTGCTCAGATCTGCTAAGCTGGGCAAGCAGGGAGGCAGACATGCCCTTTCAGAGTCTCATGTTGCCCAGAAAGTTTTCTGGGATGCAGCAAGATACTGAGAAGAGTATCTGAATTGCAGAAGTCTGCTAGCATAGCCTGTGACTCAGCCAAATAAAGGTTGCCAGTGCTGGTAATAACTCTGAAGCTTGTTTTTACACACCAGTCTTCAGGGTTTGTCCTGCCATAGGAGTTATTTTAGTGGGATTTTAGCCATATCCGCAAAACTGAGTAACTTCTGCTATGGCTGCAGCTTGCTCAAGGGGATGCTAAGCATTCCTCTTAGAACATTTTAAAGACACATTCCAGCGATGAGGCACAGCATTACCAGAGCATCTCACATCAAGAAATGAAGTGAAATTTCTCCACTGGAAGGAAATGGTTAAATTCTGAATGCATCTAACATTAACAAGTTTGATGAGGTTTCTTATCATCACAACCAATTAAAGGAACCACTTCTACTGGCTTTCATTTCCCTCTTTTGGTCCTATATTAATTTCCCTAAGGCTAAATTCATCCCTGCGTTTAACAGAATGAAGCAAACTTCTAAGGAGAGAGAAAAAAGAAGGGAGGGGGGTGTAAAAACTTCATTTGTGTTACATCATTTATTGCCTTGCAGTCTAACTTCTTTAGACTACTGGCTGTATCTCAATATTAAGTTTTCCAGTTATTTTCATCTGGACACACTTAGCTCCTAGGACTCCTCAGCAGAGGAATCAGGGATAAAGAATTCAACTCCATACACTTCTATTCCTTATTCACTTATATTCTTTTTATCAGTCACCTGAACCAGGACCCATTCTACAGCAAAATTCAAGGCTGTAATTATGGAGAAGAAGCAGGTTCCAAAATTCAGCAGAGCTGCTGAGATGATTTGTCACTAGATTGTAGCACTATAGAGCCTCAGTGTCCATAAACCTGTGCTACTTACCAGGTGTGCTTGTTGAAGAAACTTTAGAAGTTGAAGACTCTGATTCTTCCTGATTAAAATGGAGGAGAGAAGGAGAAAGGAGGGAGGAGTGTTAGACTCACAAGAGTCAGTCTCAACTGTTTAAATAGTTATTTCACTTTTTATACAGATTTAAAATGTATGTAGAAAACGTGCAAGTTCTAGGCACTTTACAAAATAGTGGTTGTGTGAGTGTTGAAATGCATAGTAAATTATAAATAAGCTCTTGTACACCATTTGAATCTCTCTCAATCTTTTTAATGAGTAATGAGAAGTAGATAAAATTTCTCAACTCACAGTTTTATCTTCTTTCTGCTCTGGTTCTGTTGATCCCTTTTCAGCAATTCTTCTCCTATAACAGAGACAAAAGTTAACAAGACCATCATGGTTTTAAGATGAAAGAACATTGCTTACTGCAACTAAAGACCTACACAGCCTGATAGATACTTGAAAATTAGTGTGTTTAAAGAGGTACTTTCGAAATACTTTCAAGGACAACACACTCCTGGCGAACCCAACTGTGCAATTTCAAGTCTGTATCCCCTCTCCCACTGCTGCACAAAGACTTGTACAGAAGTACTGGATTACACTCAAATAAAAATGGGTATTCATGAAACATTATCAACCTCATGAGCAAGCCGATGTTTATTTGATCCTCAGCCCGCTGCAAACAGGCACCCCAAATCCTACCTCTCTGATGACCAAGCAGCTGGAGCACAGCACAAACAGTTCCTTACCTCCTGGCCAGCAGGGCGCTCATTTCTTCCATCAACCCACTGCCTCCCAAGGGAAGTGGTCCATTTCCACGGCCACCATCTGTTTTAGATGAAGCAGATGAAGCAGAGCCTCCTCCTCCTCCTCCACTTGAACTGGAGGAGTCTTCACCCTTCATAGTACACAAAATAACAGCAGATGTGCAAACAGAATGAGAGCTGACTTAATGAAATCAGCAGAGTTCACATACAGAAAACACACAACTGCATAAAGAATGTGATGGGCTGGTAGCACACCTTGTAATTCTTTATTAATAATTAATTAAGCCTACCCAAAAAGCCTTGATACTGCTATTGATCTTGAACAAAAGTTACAACCGGTTCAGGAAGACAGGATTTAGAGACAGGAACTGGAAAATGAAACGGAAGTTATATTTACCCGCGAGACTTTCCTAAGTTTGGCTCCAGCAAGTGCAGCTGCTAGTCCAGTTAAAGGGCGATTATCTTCGGACACGAACCCCGCTGAAAATCCAGAGGCTGGGAGGGGAGGAGCAGGAGGTGGAAGGGGAACAGGAGGAACTTGGCTAGGAAGTGGAGGAGGCGGTGGTGGTGGTGGCGGAGGCCCTGAAGGTGGAAGTGGAGGAGGCGGTGGTGGGCCAGGAGGAGGTGGGGCTGCTACTGAAGACTGAGCTGGGCCAGGGGGTAGGGGAGGTGGAGGAGGAGGTGCTGGTGGTCCTTGGACACCACCTAGTATCAAAGAGAAAACAAACAGAATACATTAAGGACTTAGAAAAGAAATGTCTTATTTCCATTGAAATGGTGGTTCTTTTGCTCAGTGCATGAAACACCAAAACTGGTAAGATACTAGGCAAGAAAGCACTGCAAGTTTCAGCAGGAGACAAACATTCTTATTCAATGTACTAAAAACATTACATAGTATAGTATGAGAGATCAGACAGTTTCAGAGACATTTAGATAGGAAACCCCTCCAGTCAGGTTCCGTGCTGCAACCAAGAACTTTACACCAGGAAACAGGCAAGAAGTCAAGTAAGGCACGAGCATCGTACCATGTAGGAACAATACTGTGTGTTCACATGGTGCTAAACACAGAGTGACCTTTCATTGTACTAAAAAGCATTTAACACATCACCCAATCTGAGCCCTTAAACTGCTTGAGTATCAATGCTAATTTCTAAGCTATATATAAATCTTTCTTCTAAAAAACATTCCACTAATCAACTTTAATAATTTAATACAAACACTAACTGGTGAGTTAGAAGACTGACATATTTCAAGCTGATGAGAACGAGCTCTTCTATTTTTTATGTATCATTCTTTTAGTGCTTTAAATTCACATTGATATCCAATACAAAATGTATTTCGAAAAAGTAATATTCTGATGATCACTGTGTTATTATTATAAGAAGAATTTAAGAAATTGTGACTAAGACAATAGCTCTGCACATCCCTCCCCATCTTATCCAAACTGCCATAAGGTACTAAAAATGCTGCACAACTATCTTAAGCAGTCTCTAAGGGCAGGAATTTCACATACAAGTCTGCCTGGTTTTGTAGTCTACTAACTACTGCATAAATTCAAAAGCCTTTTAAACTCTCTAGGCATCACTCACCATCCAAGTGCACACTTTTATTCCATACTAGAAGTGAGGCTGTTCACCCTATTTCCACTCCATCCCAGAGTAGTTCACATCTTCATTTAAGACAAGAGGGTATAAAGAGGATCTATTCTGCATGGCTTGTGTGTGATTAAGCCACAGGCTGCTTATCCCCCAGGAACCCCTCTGCCCATCCCTTTAGCTCAGCTACTGCAGATTTATGTACAAAGATCTAAATCTACCAAATCAATATAAAAGCAGGATTCAGGTTAACAAAGACATTTAGACCCATGTAAAACACGTACGTCTGTCACATTGGTGGAGCGTCCATTAAGACTGTCACCTGCTTAATCAAACTTTATGTCTAAAGCTGCTTTAGCTACGCTGACAGAATACCACAGAAGACCTATCTATATATATATGTGTGTGCACATACAGCCATGTATCCAAATACAATCACTGTCCAAAAGGAAATGCTGTAGGTGTTACATGCTACTTTCTAAATTTGAATAATTCCTCACTTGAGGTCCAAGGCTGCACGCGTGTTCTTCTGTGTTGGCTACTGTGAGGAAACTAATGATGCTGCCTGTTAACACCTCATTCCAAATAAACTAACAGTGCAATATTTACCAAGCAAACATTTGACAAGCTCAGATGTAGACAGGTGAGAGCTTAAGAAATCGGACTTTTGCCTATGACAGGCCACAGAAGGCCGGCTCTTGTGCACAGGAGCTTTCAAGTTTCCCTTACCCCAGTTTTCCAAACGGTATTTCGTTGTGGTATTAAGATCACTGCAACTTTGGAAGCACTGTATTAATGCCTGGGGGCAGTTAGGGGCTTTGACACTAATTGGTTTCGAGTGCGTTCCTGCTTAGCGCATTAGTAGCAATAACAGAAAGCCTTACCCTGCTGGGTCGTAGGTTCAATCGGCTGAGAGGCTGCCTGCAAGACTGGCTCAGAAGCAGAGGAGTCTCCCAGCACAGAGTTTAGAGAGTTCTCAACAGAGGCAGGGGTAGCTGCAGAGGGAGAAGGGAGAACACTAGGCTTGGATGAGGGAGTCGAGGCATTCGGGGAGTTGGGAGAAGGAGAAGCTTGAGGTCCAGAGAGTGACAGAGGCGGAAGGGAAGGCAGTGGGGGGGGAGGAGGTGGCGGAGGCGGCGTTGGACCTGAGGTAGAAGGTGAAGGAACCGGATAAGCCAGGTTTTCAGGAAGCCCGTTAGGAGCCGTGGGAGACGTGGACATTTGGGTCACCGGATTAGAAGCTGACACTGGGAGGACAGGTCTCGGACCAGTAGCTTTGCCTGGTGGACTGCTTATCATTACTGGAGGAGACGGGGGGAGAGGGGCAAAACTGGGTGCGGACCAGGCAACAGGCTTTGTATTTGGAGGCAAAGTCGCCATGGCATTGACAGGAGAAGGGGGCCGAGAACTTTTGTTCAGCGGACGAGGAACCGTAGCATAATGGGGGAGAACAGGGTGGAAAGCTGAGCCTAAAGATGTAGCAAAACGTGATGCAGAGTGCCTTAGAGGCGGTGTAGGGGGAGTGGAAGTCGGTGGTGCAGAAGTCACTACAGCGTACTCCGGTGTGGCCTCTGACATTGGTGCTGAGACTGCTTTTGCATATGATGGAGGAGGTGCTGAAGGAGGCTGGCAACTGGAGTATTCAGGAAGTGAAGTGCTATACGGGGAGTTGTCGAAAGATGGAGCTGGACAGAAGATGGAAAGCAGCAGCAAAGGCAGGATAAAAAAGGAGAAAGAGAAAAAGGGAGCTAATGAAGCAACAAAACCAGCATTCAAACAAAATGTATAAATGTAGACTACAGTTAGTACCAGAGGATTAGGCACAAGTGAAAATACTGTTAGGAAAGTTTTACGTATTATCAACAGGTGCTTTTAAATCTTACCAACTATTTTTGTGCCAACATTTGAATTTACAAGTATGTTCCAGAGAAAGTTTTCTCAAATCCCATCTGTGAGATGGATTAGATATAGGGTTGAGTAATCAGTGTTTTATGAGCTTTTATCTTCGTATTTGGTTGCAAACTGCAAGCAAGTGTAGTGATCTTAACATTTGTTTCAACTCCACTAACAAAATTCCTACCCTAGGCAGCAAGTATCATCTTTCTATTCCCCAGAAAAAGCTCCATTGTAAACTTGAAAGTGCTGGGAATACAACTACCCATAAAATCCTCTGCTCTAAAATGACTAGCTCTTACACAGTATTCCTTGACTTCTACCATGAGCTGACTTATGCAAATTGAGTTTGTTACTAAAGAACAACCAAGCACTTGACTAATGTTCCATTATATTACCAAAATGAGAAAGCTTTCAGTCATCACTGGATACATTTCCACAGGCACTGCATTATCTTATCTACAAGCACATACAATACATTTCACCGAAATGTTACTACAGTGATAAATTAAGCCAGACTTCAGACTGAGAAGCTTTTCTCCAATATTACTTTGCCTTATATGGGTACATACCTTCTATGTTAACACAGTCAACCTGGCATGTTTAGGGTTTTTTTCCCAAATTATGCACTGCAAATACATCTTGTTGAATAGAGCAAGCAATGATAAGGTATTTAGAAAGTTTAACTCGTCACACTTTTAACCAATGTTGAGGGCGTCCAATATGCTTCAAGTTCTTCAAGCAATCAGAGTACGGCAATGGAGTGAGCAAATAGTGCAAAAAAATTTATTTCAGGGTTAATGGAAAATTATGACAGGAAAGTCAAAGCTCTTGGACTTCTTGCCATAAAAAAAAAAGGAATTCCAGCAAATAAAAGCCTGTTGTCACAAAACTGTACTCACTGCCCTTTGTTGTTCCTCTCACACTCCATCACCAAAACACATAACAGAGTAGTCTGATAGTTGAACACACTCAGGTTTTGAAATTCTTACCAGCATTTGAAATTCTTCTCTCTCTTTCCCATTCCAACTGTTCCCTTTCCAACTGTTCTTGTCGTTCTCTTTCTTGCCTTTCCCGTTCAAGTCGTTCAAGTCTTTCTCGATCCTGCCTCTCCTTCTCTTGTCTCTCCCTTTCTAGGCGCTCTTGCCGTTCCCTTTCTTGCCGTTCTCTCTCCAGTTGCTCCTGCTCTAGGCGCTCTCTTTCAAGTCTTTCCCTTTCTAGCCTCTCTCTCTCCAGCCTCTCCCGTTCCATTCGTTCACGATCCAGCCTTTCCCGTTCCAGCTCCTTCTGCCTCTGTTGCTCTTGCAACTGTCTACAATTGTGAAAAAAAGGAAAAAGACTAAGCTGCAAAGTGAAAACCAAAAATATGAAGCAACTGTTAAGAGGACAAGAAGAGAAACTAACCAACAATCTTTGCACCAGCAAAAACAAAAGCACAGCATTTGTACCTACATAAAATTCTTAATTCTATGTGTCATTTTTCTGAGCTGGATAAGAGTTTTATTATGTTTACAGTAAAAAAAAAAAAAAATCACATATCCAATTTCCTCTTAACTAATTGAACATTCTGAGAAACAGCTTTCAAGAAGTAAGAATAGAAAGCTGCTGCTGCTAATTTACTGATACAATCTTCCCAGTTTGGGATATGGAGTTACATTTTGTTCTTTGCATGGTATTTTATACCCGAAGCAGTGAATAAAAAAGTACAGTGAAACAGTAATAACACAAATACTCATTTAAAAAAACCCCACCCCCACATAAACTAAGTTTTTTGGATTAACTAGTCAGCTAGTATTTATCCAAATTTTACAGAAGCATCAAAACATAGACATGTCTGTCTCCACTTGCATAGTACTATGCACACATACAATTTAACTGGCAACGACATGAGAACACCCTGAAGGCAGGGGAAAACTGGACATGGTCAAAGAAAATCCAGGGTGTAGCAGCCAAGGAAACACTGCAGGGAGCTGGCAGGTTTTCCAGCTCATGGGAGTCTTTGCAAAGGAAAGCAGAGAGGGGGAAGGCAAGTATAAGCCAGGCAGAAGAAATATAAAGAACTTCCTCAGGGTAAGGAGGAATCTTGCAAGTCTCTGCCAAAGCCTCTGGGTGAGCTGAAAGGACTTTCCTGCAAAAATATAGTGGGAAAAGCTATATACCACCTTTTTGATTCTTTCTCCTCAACTTGTTTTGCACTTTCTTTAGGTTGTTTGATTGTTTTTAAGATAAATAAATCTTCCTAGTTGGCTAAAATACACCTTTTTGATTTTTAAAGATTTTTCATCTCTTGGGGATAACTCGCTGCTAAACCAAAAAACAGGCACATCCTCCTCCCAGCTGTGGCCAGTATGTTCCTGTCAGGACATAACACTGAAAATGTTATAAGTTGTTGTTCTCTTTGAATTCCTGTTTCCAAAAAAAAAAATAAAATCTTGTATAGAAATCACACAGTCATTTTTTCTTCCATGCTTCAGATGCAAACTGAAGAGAGTTTCTCAACAAATACAAAGCACAGCCAGCTTTTAACTATGAAGCAAAAAGGAGACCTGAATTTTGACACCTCAAGCTGTTAAATACATGTTTTCCATACTACACCACTGGGCACTTTTCATGGACAGGTCACTGGCAATGCCATACTCAATGTGTAGAGTCATACAAACTGAATTCTGAAAATGAAGGGAACTTCACCTGTTTCACTCCTTTTCATGCCTAGAAAATATTGGCATAATTGGAAACTCTAGCCCATGAACTATTATGAAGTCCACCCATTTTTCAGACCAGTGTTTTTCCTTTATAAACAAAAATAAATTACAAATATTGAAACTGCTACAAGCAATAAAACTTGAGTTATGTACAGCAAAAGGACTTTTTCCCTACTGAACTTGTTACCCACCATCCTCAGGAGCAGCAAAATAGTTATGCTCCTTTAACCAGTCCTTCCCTCAGCCCCTGCTCTCCCATATAACAAAGCTGTAAGAGCAGTCACCATGAAACCAGAACTGCAATTCAGCTTGTTAAATGTTTGATTTTTAGCCTCTGAAGTCCACTAAAAAGTCTGGTGATTGACCCATACATATTTGGAACCAGTAGAGGATTTCTATAAAATATTAAGAGAATGTAATATAAACCACAGAAATGTAAGCTCCAAAAGAGATATTAAAGTATTTTTTACATTACATTTTTGGTTGCTCTGTACTGTGCAAAACTAGTTTTCCTATATACTCTTTTCCCCCTCAGATAAAATCTATTATTTAAGGAAAGCAGGGTTTTCATCATAGCTAACTTGAGCTTGCTCATCTTAAGCTCTTTTTTTTCCCTAAAGGAGAGGTGGATGGGCATACATTTGTTGCTAAAAGGCTATTCAGAGCAGAAGTCAACAATGACAGACTCCAAAGCAGGTTTATTGTCTTCATTCTTTTTCATTTATTTGCCAGAAATGAGCATATTCTACCTATAAATCCTAAAACTAAAATGCAGATACGGCATTTGGGGTTATAATCATTTTATGTTACATTTAGTTTATAATACTAGAAGGTATCAATTCACTGGGTTTTAACAACACATCAAATAACTGCCAAAAAATTTCTTTTGCTCAAGTTCTTCATTTCTTTACAGAAATAGAACCTCAATATAGGTCACTCCTCACACAAGACCAGCATCACCAAGGCAGTTCTGCAATAAAGCCATATGAAGAGCTCTGCTATTCATATTTTCATAAGCAATCTGGAAAAGAAACACCAAGGTGCTCTTCTTTAAGCTGCTTAAAATATTAAGTTATTTAGGATAGCAAGGATGATGGTTGATTATGAAGAACTACTGATGGATCTTCCAACTTCAACTAACCTGGCAAATAAAACTCAACTGAGATATAACTGAAGTGAAGCAGGGGAGAGAGGGGGGAAATCTGCTAAATTCATATACAAAACGCTGGACTTTGAGTTGACTATTGATTCAGGAGTGAGATATTAGGGTTACAACACACAGGTCTGTGACAACATCCATTCATTGATGTGTTCTGTTCAAAAACATAAACCAGATGCTAGACATCAGGAAAGGATTACAGAGCAGTACAGAAAACAGCACCATCTTGCTTCACAAACCCCGAATCTCTGTTCCCACATCAAAAGGGGGAGAACAGCAGAACTGAAAAGATTCAAAGAGCAGCAACACTGTGATCAAATGTACCAAACACTTTCCACTTAAAAATAATTAAAGAAGTTGGAATTCTGCATTCCGGAAAAGACAACTGGAGCTCTGCAAAATCCTGAGTGATGAGGACATCCTGTTACAACAGCTGAGAGGAAAGATTTGATGCAACTAATAACAGCAAAGCTCAAAAGAAAAGAGCTCCTCTGAACATCAGGCAGACAAGCTGTGGAACTCCTTGCCAGAGTGATTCAACTAAAGAATAGGAAAAAGCCCACAGAATAAAACCAACAACCATGGGAAGCCATTTAGAAAAAAAATGGCATCATGCACAAGAAGCTGTTGAACCAAGGGATGCCCAGAAGATGGGAGAGCAGCAGAGGGAAGTATTCCAGGTGTTTGCCCTGGCCCAGAAGGGTTTTACTTAATGCTTTTCTAACTAGTGACAGGGTAAGTGCACGTGTGTATATTATGTACCATATACACAGAGGAACTGGTGATGAGAGCGTATATAAAGGAATACTCTGTCTTTATATAGCATGTAACTGTGTGCAGTTAGCTAAATTTTAGCTATTTTAGCTAAATTTAACAATTTTAGCTAAAGTTCAAGATGTAGCTATGCCTAAAACAAACTGTGTTTGGGATTGACTGATTCTCCTAATACATCTTAACACATTCCCGAAGCTTTCCTGGGGTTCTTCTCTTCACAGAGCTATAGAGACACACAACACCCTTGTGTCATAACAAAATGCACCTAAGTGTTTAAACTTAATCTGAGGCAAAATACATTTCAATCAGCAATCAACATGATCAAATTGTATTGGCTATCTAAAGAGATACAGATGAAAGGCAATGAGATAAGCACTTTCATCCATGCAGGACTCGAATAAAATAATACTGATTATTTAATAAATATTGAGTGACTCAGAATTTAACATTTCATTTTTTAGTAAAAGAATCATCATTTTCCATTTTTACAGGAAATAAAAGGTATAAAATCAGTTTTTGAAATGTACAAATAAAAATTACGAACAAGGTGAGCATTTTGTTTACAATACAAATGCTCTACCAAGAGAGGGCAGCAAAATACCTTGCAAACATATAAAATTCCCATGCAGCAAGATATGAGATCAAATACAGCATCACTGAGCATTTTTTCTCATTATACACTGCTGAACCATCCCTTTGTCAACAAGAAAAATAAAAAAACTCGACCGCACAAAACCAAAACAACAAACAAACAAACAAAGCCCCCTGCACCCTTCCCCACCTCACAACCCACTACATTTTTACTGTAATTTTAGAAATTTCAACAAACCTTTTGAACAGCAAACCAAAAGGTTCACAGGTCAGAACGTCAGTGTGCCAGTAATGCAATTAAGCTGCTTTAACACAACTTAATGAGCAAGGAAGAATTTTGTAAACTACAAACTAAGCTTAACAACTGTTACAGTTGTTGCTTAAAAAAGATTAAAAACTCATTTGATTATTTAAAACAAAAAACCTACTTGCATTAAATCCCCCTTGGTTTTGTTTAGTTAGCATTAGATAGTATAATTTTATTTTAAAATTTTGTCAGAGATCAAAATTATATTAGGCAAAAGCATCATTAGATTACAAAGAGTCATCACACATCAATTAAAGTATGTCTGAATGTCAAGACTGGTAGTTCAAGAACACTGTGAAAGCAACATATGAAAATCCTTCAGCCTTAGAATGCACAGTATCTGGCCACCAGGACAACTTTTGAAAAAGATGAAGAGGTACTAAAAGTGCTCTAGAAAGTTGTCTGATAATGAAACGCTCATTATGCAAAGGAAATGTGATTCTAACCATTTTGGAAGTGTGGATTACTAAATCTAAGAGTTAATTTACAAAACTGTAGAGCATGTCAGTCACACACAAGGTACTGTTACACATGTTTAGATTCAGAGAGTCAACTTCAGAAATTCAGAGTAGCTGCTAGCTTTATCACAGATCCTACTCATGGAACTTTATGGTTCCTAATTAGTTTTGTGTCAAAAGCATCTTGGGAAACCTCACTTTGGGGTGTTTTGGTGGAGGTTTTGGATTTTGGGTTGGTTTTTTGTTTGTTTGTGGGTTTTTTGTTTTGGTTTGGGGTGGTTTTTTGTGCTATTTTTATATTAGATTACTTTAATACTGCAT